AAATCTTTGCAAAGAGACCAAATATTTTCTAATAATGAAACCTAAGGCTGTTTGGGTCACACCACTCCTGTTCCCTCCCTCCAGTTATCTGGAAGCCTTGAGGTAGCAGGTGATGCAGCTGTCTCCACACCCAGAACTCAGAGGTGGCGGGGAGCAGCCAGCAGCAGGGCTCACTCAGCCCTAGGGGGCTGCGTTGCCAGCTACCTCAGCACAGCACTGCTTCCGACTTGGCCTCTTGTGTTCAAAGCCTGGCTGGGCATTGGTGGATTATTTTACTAACAGCACTGAGGTGGGTGGGCCTGGGGAGGCTGGGGTTGCCCAGATGATCAGATCTAGAATAGAGCAAGGCTGCTCTAAAGCTGGTGGGCTTTATCTTGGCACGACAGAGAATGGCAGGAGCAGGAGCAGTTCTCTGACTTTTCCTGCTCCCCTTGCTCCATGGAGCAAGTCATAAGACTTATAAATAATTTTCTGATCTTCCCCCAAAGCAGATCATCAGAGCCTCACCCAAGGGATGGCCTCCTGATGCCCAGAGAAAGGACACCCTCCCCTCAGCAAACAGGCCTTGCGAAGTCTCCTCTGGTTCATTACACTAAATCACACTCTTGGTTTTTGATCATGTATCCCCACAGCTGTGCACTCTTTGACAAATCTAGCAGGAAAATACACAAGTATAACCATTCCTCAGGGCACTCACTGACTTACAAAAGCTGCTGTCCCATGAAACACTGACATTAAATCATTGTGTACTTTTCTTTTATCAATCTGCCCTTGTTAGAGGGCCACAGCCACAAACCTAGGTTGGGTAGAGAAAGATATTTATCTGTCCCTCCAAACAACGAGGTGAAGCTGACAAGGTTTCCTTTGTCTTCCCTGTGCTCATTTCAGTCCCCCTTCCCAGGACCCAATGCAGGCTTGATCTCAAGAACAATGTCTTCCTTCAGGTCCTTTTCTTTTCCTAATGTCTCAGCTACATTTACTTTGTCCTGAAGCCTCAAGGTTTCTGGGGAGTCTGGGCTCCCCAAGTTCTTAACTCAGCCATGCACAAGCACTAATGGGTGGGAATGTCAAAGGATGAAGAAACGCTAAGACAGAACTGAATATATTGCTCCTGACAACAAAGAACTGTGCTGGTCAGGCCCAGTGTCTCTGAGCAGAGTAGAACCTGGCCTTGAATAAATGTTCTGGCAGTGGTGGGCTGGTAAATCAGCTGCTTGGGGGAAGAAGAGCACTTGCCAGTACCCAGGATGTAAATATTCAATCCCATCACAGCCTGACTTCAATTTACTGCAGATTTAACACATGGCCCAATACCTGCTGAATATTTAATGAGTATTTCTTGCTGGTTCCCACAGCCCAGCTCTCATACCCCATTTTGTTCTACACCCTGAAGCTTACGGGTCGGGTGGATTTTCAGGGGTGTAAGTAATTAACATCATCTCTAAGAGCAGGGTCACTTAGCTGAGACAGCTGTGGATTGCTTGGTGATGACAGAAACAAGTTTTAGAGCGAGTCTATCCCTGATTGGCTGATATCTAGAGGAAAGAGGCTGACATTGATTACTTGTTAAGCTCCCACTGAGGTGAGTTGTCAATAATCCATTGAGTAGGGTTATAAGTAGTTTTGACAGCATTTGTTAGCAAGGTACATACATGGAAATTTTTCCTTTCCCAGGCTTTCAGGAATATTTTTATTCTCAGGTATTACATTAGATAAAAATTTTAAATAGGTCTTAGCAAAGACTGGACAGTATAGGACACTTAATCAGAATTCCAATTATAATTATAGCATTTGAATGGCTGATGAAAAAAATTCCCCCAACATTAAAATGAACACATCTTGATAAGCTGTTTCCCATATCTCTTTAAGTAGGGAATTTGTGCATAGGATTCTCCATTCTTTTTATTTTTATTTTTATTTTTTTGGCAGAACCGGGGATTGAACTCAGATCCTTGCGTTTGCCGGTCAAGCGCTTATCCTACTGAGCCATCTCCCCGGCCCCTCTCCATTCTTTTTAGAGAGACAGTCTGAGGTTTTTCCTTTGAGATAAACATCAGCTACTTCTTACACTTCTGTTCCAGATAAATAGGGAACTGATAATCTTCATAAGACACTGGCTTGGTTTATCACCAAAGGAGTCCTTATGCTTTATCTTACAAGCTTGTCCACACCAGGCCCCCATACATTCTTTCCTGCCCGTGCTCTATACACAAGCTGATCCCTTATCTATGATCATAGAGTGAGAATTCCTTGTGAAGCAGAGCTGGGGAAGTTGGGATTGATACCCATATCCTCCTTAACTTGTACTAGGATGTCCTAGAATTCTTACTTTACTGTTTCTAGCTCGTTGGTAGTATGCAAAAACGGTTTGTCACTGCTCTTTGTAGTCATCAAAGCCATCTTCCTGCTTCCTCAGCAATGAATCCTTTTCCTTCCCTAAATATCCCTGTGCTCAAAGCCCTGTGAACCTGGACTTATGACTGTGTCCACCAAAGCTGTGGCCAACAATGTGGACACAGGTGGCAGAGAGCCTGGCTTTAAGACTGGTTCTCATTGAGCTGTATGGCTTTAGCATTTACTGCTTATGCAAATAATAAAAATTTAGAGTCCTGTGAACACTACATTCAGGCCAGATTTTCATTAGCTGCTAAAAAGGCCCCTAATGTGGTTAACATGGTCAACTTCATTCTCCTGAAAGATGAAAGATGGAAAGAAACAGAGAATGATGAGGCAGAGGATTTTTGCAAAATGGAGCCATCAGGTAGAAAACCAGTCTACAGTTACACCATATTTCAACCTTCAGGCTCTGGCCCAGCCCCCAACTCCTTTCCAGCCTCACCAAGCCCTCCCGTATCCTCCCCACTCCAGGATCTGCTGACCCAGTGTCCCTCCATGCGCACCACCTCTGATTTCCTAGAGAGTTGGACATCTCCTGTCTCTTCCACCTGGGTCACTGTCCTGTGGGACAGGCTGTTTTGCATACAAGCATGTGCCTGGAACCTGGAGCCAGACTGCTGGATTTCTGCTTATCCCCTTTTGGTCAGGTGACTTACCCTATTTGAGTTTCAGTTTTCCTGTCTTTAAAATAGGGACAATAATGGGGCTGGAGAGATAGCTCAGTAGAATAAGCACTTGCCTGGCAAGCGCAGGGTCCTGAGTTCAATCGCCAGTACTGCATTAAAAAAAAAAAAAATAGGGATAACAGTAATGCTAACCTCATTGTATTGTTATGAAATTTAAATGGTATTGCACAAAATGTGAGCCTGACTGGCTTCAGTCAGTGTTATATAAAGGCTTGTTTTTAGTATCCCTATACAAGGTCTCCTCTGCTCCTCCCTTTTCAGTCAGTGTCTAGGGCCAGGAACTTTCACCTTCTGTTGCTGTCCTGTCAAATGTAACACACCCTTGATGAAGCTCCACTTCCCCTCTGGAAGGACCTTCTTTTTTTTTTTTGCGGAACCGGGGATTGTACTCAGGCCCTTGCGCTTGCCAGGGAAGCACTTATTCCACTGAGCCATCTCCCTGGCCCCTGGAAGGATCTTCTTGCCCTCGCCTGTCTGACTCCAGCCGCCACGTCCTCAGTCTCCCAATCCCTCCCACCCACTTTTCCCAACATTCTTGTGCTTTGTTCAACCTCACTCTGATTTACCCATCCTCGCCTTCCCAGACCACCACTATCCAGGCCAATCCTGCTAGGCTCAACCACCCAGCTTCATGACAGACGTCCCTTTGCTCTGCAACATGCTTCTCAAAAGGCACAGTCTCCACCTTGGCATCGTTCAACTTTATGTTTTCAACTTTGCAGTGGGACAGAAGTGAATGCAGAGAATCATTCTGCTTTTCTCTTTCAGCATAATGTTTAATAAATTCGATGAGATCATTGATGTGTTATTGCAAACCAGGTTCCCTTTTGGATGCTTTGCAGCAAGTAGGCTGTGGAAGTGTTCTGAGCATGTTTAAGGCAGGCTAGCTGAACTATGACGTTGGCTAAGGTAGGGATAGTCAATGTATTTTCAGCCTATGATGTTTTCAGCTTACCAAGGGCTTATCAAAAGTCAAAGGTGTCTGTATGAGAATGAGAGGTGGCCCTGTGAAGAGGTGCCCAGGCTTGGCTCCTGGGCGGTACATGCAGCATCCTGTTAGCTTCCAGCACAGAGAGACACCCCACCCCAGCAGGACCACTGCCCCACACATTTCCAAACAAACTCTACTTGAGCCTCCTCCAAATCAAATACCACCTCCACACACAGATTCTCAAATGCAGATCACTAAATCTTCTGCCAGAAGCCCTCTCCGCTCCTTCCTCCCTCCCTCCTTCCTTCTCTCTGTCTCTCCCTCCCTGCCTGCCTCCCTTACTGTGCCTCCTTTCCTTTCTCACCGGGCCTGGCTTCTCAGACTCTTCCAGCCATCCCATCCCTGGCCTAGGCTCTCAGGGTCCCTCCTAATCTACACGCCCTGCCCTGCCATGCATCCTCCAGGCCTGCTTTGGACTTCTCCACTCCCCATCCTGTTCCAAGTCTGCCCTAATACCCAGCAACACCTGAATTGAACCCTTGGCTTGTTGAGGACAGCAGCTGCTCTAGTCGCTGACCCACAGGGCTTGGAACAATAAAAAGCAGCAACCCCCCTAGGAAAATACCACTTTGTCCATTTCAAAGTTCTTCACTAGAACCTCCCCACTTGCCTCACACTCACTGCCATCCTTTGATGAGGCCGCTTTGAAAGACAGTCACAGGCAGAACATGACTACAGCCTGGGAAAACGTCCACCTCCAGCAGCTTTTGATTAATAAGCATAAAAGTAGGTACAGGTAAAGTAGAGCAGAAGCTGGTCACCTGAGAGGTGATCCTCATCTTTGTCACACTGAATTGTTGGCGTACTACAGCTTGTGATGAAGCTGACATGCCTACGTCCCCATGCATGAGCCCTGCTGTCAACTCGCACTCATCACAGAAGCACCTTTCTGTGGTAGAGCCAGGAGGCACTGGCAGTGCCTTTACCTTCTTCCACTGGGTGGAGGTCAGTGCTATCTTTCAAGTCTTCATCCTCCCAGGGCTGAGTTTGGGGCTCCCTTTTCTTGGTCTCTGAGCTTCTATCAGCAGCTTTAAATATCCATAGAATCAAAATGCAGACAACTGCTACCAGGACTGGAGTCAGGGCAAGCATGGTTGAGAAAGAGTCTGATCCTTACCCAGAGTCACCCCGCTTCCCATGCTGGCATTTAAGCAGAGACAGGAGCAGGGAATGCTGGGAGGGGAGGGGAAGAACAGGGAGGTGTGCAGGGAAGGAGCAAAGTTCAGAGCGCTCAGACTCCATGACGAGTTTGCAAAGGAGCAAAGATTACAGTCACGTGTGTGCCTGATGTGTGTGTGGCTCTAGTCATGCACCAGCACACCTGCTTTTTAAAACTGCGCACTCAGCCAACATAATCTTAGGCAGCAATCAGCAGGCATTGTGTGAAGCCTGTAATGTTCTAGCTCTTGGGAGAAATGGTAAAAGGTACTTCATCTTCCTGTAGAACTTTTCTCTGAGAGCATCTTCAACTTAGGAATTGTCTGAAGAATCTAATTTTACAAGACAATGGGAGATAGTCCGGGGGAAACCAATTCAGATCTTGTGAAAGAAAACTTCCTAGATGGAGGCCTGGCAATCTGCATTTTAAATGATATGTAAGAGACCTTGCGCTTTAAGTTGTGATTTTTTTTTTAAAGCAATGCCCTTGCCAATATATAGAGCAAGGAAGGGTCATGTTTTACATTAGAGAAAAACTTGAACCTAGAAAAATGTGATAAGACTAATTATAATGATTATTTATATACCTTTTTTTGTTTTTTCTTTTTTGTTTGAGTCAGGGTCTCTCTATGCAGTCTGGTTGGTTCCCCAGTGATCCTGCCTCAATAGCCAGAGTGCTGGGATTATAGGTGTGCATTACCACACCCAACATACCTTTCACTTAAGTAAGTTTTTTTTTTTGTTTTTTTTTTTTTTAATTTGTTTTGTTTTGCTTTATTGTACTAGCAAATATCTTAGTTTGGGCCATTGTAACCAAATTTGCATAGGCTGAGTCAGTTAAACAACAAAGCTGTGTTTCTTACAGTTGTAGAAGTTGGGAAATTCATAATCAAGGTGCCAGAAGATTCAGTGCTTCCTGGCTCGTATTTGGTGCCCTCTTCCTGTGGCCTCATGTGGGTGAGAGGATAGGAGGACATCCTGTCTGTGCTCATTCATGGCTCACAACAAGCCCATGCAGTAGATTCAATCATTATCCCCGTTTTTCACATGAAGAAAGTTAAGGTGCAAGTAGGTAGAACAATATGCCTACAGCCAGCATTAAATAGCCCAGAAGTAGTCCTGTGTAGCCACCTAAAGAGTCCGTGTTGTTTCCTCCTGCAGAGCAAACTAGAGCCCTTAGCCCACAGCCAGCAAGGAGATGGAAATTAGACTCAGGTTTCCTGTATAGATAAAGAAGGTCTTGGTACCTGCCTCGCAGGCCTCATGTTCCACTTAGGAGGGGAGCAGAAAAGAGGTTTAAAAATATGAACAGCACAAAGAAGGACTTGACAGTTGTCACCCACAAAAGTAGTGGGAGCAGGAAGTGTAGAGGAGCTGAAGTGTTTAACAGTAAGTACCACGGGGAGAGGCCCATGCTCCTTCTGTCCCAGAACACCTGTGGGTTTTAGTGAAGAGAAGTCTTCCACTTGTTCTTGGGTTCCCCCTGTTTTCTGTGAATCCCTGTGCAAGGCTTCATGAGTGTTCACAGCTCCATACCCAACACCATCCCCACAGCCAGGCCACCCACCTGGGATCACATCAGGACCCCAAGATCCTTCATAGCACCCTTGAGAGTTGCAGTAAACAGAGCTATGCATGAGGTCGAAAAGGTACCATCTCATCTCCGTACTTCAAGTAGTTCTTAAGCATCCTGGTCTCCTTGTTCTCCCAATGCTTCTTCCTCATGAAGTTAGGAAAAGGAAATGAGTCCCCAGGACAGATGAGCAGAGAAGGTACGAGACGGTTTTGTACTCCACCACTATTTCTCCTTGCTCATTTCAGGTCCATTTCATTCTAATAATTTGGGACATGTCGCCAAGCTGCAGGTCATGTTGTAGACAGCACCGTCTTAGAAGACACATTTCTCCAAACACATGCACAAGTAGTTTTAACAGCATCTCAGTATCCATTTTCCTTCCTGCTTTCTAACATGTAGATGTGGATTTGTAGAAGACAAAGGAATCTGAAAGAGGATTTCCTAGGACAGAGACTTATTGGGGCATCAGATGAACTTACTCAGTTCTAAGGGCTCACACCAGCGTTTACCATGCTTATTTGTTATGTGTTGATACCAAGGCCCCACCAGCAAGAGCTACAGCAAGCATCTAAACAAAAGGTTTGAAATAGATCCACGCTATACTCTGAGGTCTTTGTTGAGTTGTGAAGTTGGAAAAATCACAAGGAATTCACGAGTGATTTTTAAAATTTACTTGGCCTCAAACATACTCAACCTACTACATTCACTAATGTCAACTCATCCAAAAGTTATTATTGTTTGCCCAGTGGATTGTATTACCACATCTGTCATATGTCCCTGGGTGCTAGTGACATAGGAGCCCCAAATGGTACAGGGAAATATTATAACTCCCAACCTGACAGATGTCAGATGCACCGAGTTGGTGTCCCCTGAAGTGGAAGAATGAATTGTAAGGAACAGCAGTGGTTAAGAATAGGAAAATTTGTCAGCAAAAAGCAATGGGGCAGAGGAATAGCTCCTGAGAGGCAGCCGAGATCCCAAAAGGGTTGCAAATGAGCCCATTTCTCTGAGAAAGTTTTATAGTGTAAAACCATGAGGGATGGGTACAAAGTGGGTCCAATTACAGTCAACCAATAAAATTACAAGTTTAACCACTTAGACAATACTGATCCAATAGCAGCAAGGCAATATGGATGACATCATTAATCTTGGTTGATGATCTTTGTCTTAGCCTTAGTGGATGGGAGAGTGTGGACCATCCCTAAGGAGGCAATGGTTTATTTATACAAGAAGTCTCCAAAATGTGGAACCAGGAATCTCAGTCTTCTGTTTATCCCTTAAGGAGGTATGTAAATCTGGTCACGGTGACTTTATTTTTTTTCTTTGTTTTATCTCTGCTTTTTTATTTTATAAAGAGAGTAAAAAATACTATTAAAACAGAAAAATTACAAGTGATACAAAATTTCACTTAACAAAGTGATATGAATTTCACAGTGTTTGTTGTAACACATAGCGTTGTCTTCCAATCAACTATTTATATTACCAGGTATATGTATGCAAAATAAGAAGAAGAAAGAAAAAAGAAATATACAAGAAATTAAGAGGAAAAATAGAAGAAACAGTTGAAAAGAGGAGACAAAACAAATTAAGCATTATCTGCTCCTTTCCATAGACCAGCATAAATCTATAGTACAATTGTCCAAACCATCCTGTTTACATACATAAATATATCTCTTTCTCTAACTCCCTCTCTTGTCCTTCTCAACTTAGTCATCTCTGCTTAAATTCCATGTAACCAGGATGGAAGGCTGCGGTCGTTGACTCCAGGCTTCTTCTCCTTTGTAATTAGTTCTGTTCTCCTCTTATCACTTTTACGTTTACAACATCTTAATAACAGTGGGGAAGGAGTGAAGGAGTGAGATATCTCAGGCAGGATCTTGTAGAACTGCCTTTGCCTTAGTATCTCTTATCTTTAAGGCAGATTAAAGGCTAAACTAGAACTTCTTTTTTAAATAATTTTATTGAGAAACAAATAGCAATGAGAAAGTTTCAAAACCAATCAGCAGGACAGTTTCAGTAATTAATACATTGCATATTGTTGTCTTAGTGGATGTCTATCCTAACTATTTTGAATATACAGATACAAAATGGTCATCCATTTGTATCCCCCTTTTTTGTTTAGTTTTGTCAGAGAAGGGTATTCATTGTCATTTAAATATTGTAGGTACATGAATTCAGCAAAATATTCCAATGTAGTCCAGTGGTCTATAATAGTAGTGGGTTTTCTGTAAAACTGGCAATGTTAGAAGTTGATAACTTAAGCCTTTTATAGCTCAGCATATTAATATGGCTTTACTTTTTATACTTCATTTTTATACTTTTCTGCTGGATTGTTAAAACCAAGATAAAGCAAGACCTATATAACAAGAAATGCAACTTTTGTATCTGACAAAGTCAGTCAAATCCCCTCAGGATTTATCTTGAAACCCTGTACCGCAATTTGTAGGACCATTGTCAGTGTCAGCCATGTGGATGAGTCATGGCCATTGCTTGACCAATTTGTTCCCTGTGAAAGCCTGAGAGAATGTTTTCTCTCCATGTGACTCTCCTTAGACACACTCTACACCATTGATCACTTTCCTCTGTGGCCCCATAATCCCCTTGATCAGAAAATTTGGGACTCAACTAGGTTACATGGTGTTACAGTACAGGTTATCCTATGTCCTGAGTCTTGACTGACCTTGAAAGGCTAGGGCTAAAATGTTGGCTGTACTTTCAGCCCTTCTTTTTCTCTAATTTCTCATCTGCAAACATAGGTTGTTAACCCTCCATAAGAGAAGCTTGTTATTGTTACCTGAAAATATAGGCAGTTGAGCTTAACCTCAATATCTGTCTGAATATCAAACATTTTAGGCATAACATGGAACAGATATTTTCAATCAAGTACTGATATGTTAAACTTTAAGTCCCTGCATAATATGAAGAAAAGAAATTAAAAATTGGAATACACAGTTACATATTTTTACACGGAAATTTAGAAATCTAACCAGATACAGCATTGTAGCAGGACAGTACTGTGATATTTCTTTTTCTTGTCTCTTGTTTTCATTTATTACCCTTTTTTAAAAACCCAAACATTTACTTGAGAGACAGTATGCCAGTAACTGGTATGTCATGACAAGCAGTAGTATTTAGAAGATCAGAATGACAGGCATTCCAAGCATGACCATGGTGACTTTAATCTTCAGCCATAGTCCTTAAGTGCTCTCATCTTCTGCACTGACTTCCTGGAGGCCCAGCCCTGTCCAACTGTCTACATTTCTACCTAACTTAGCTATTTATAATAAAATAACCTGTGCTAGAGTGGACTGTAGTGATATTAGTCACAAATTGACTAAAATAGAAAAGCGTCATGCTCCTAAACGACATGTAGCACTTATCAATCCTGCATTTGTTT